AAAAAAAAAAAAAAAAAAAAAAAAAAAAAAAAAAAAAAAAAGATTCATCTTCAGTGCCTGGAGAGATGGCTCAGCACTTAAGAGAACTTGCTTGTTGCTCTTCTAGAGGATCCAAGTTCAATTCCCAGTTCCCACACCAGGTGGTTATAACTCTAGTTCCAAAGGATCAGACAGCCTCTGTACCAATGCAACACACATGGCATACGCACACACAGACATAAATAAAAAGCAATACAATTAAAACCTTTAAAAAAAGATTTCTTATCTCTAAGCTCATTATAATGAATTCACTAATAGTAGAATCAGGTTACTGCTCCCCACAAAAATGAATCATGCTCTTTGGAAAAATGGTTGATCTCAAGGCTGGATCAAGGAACAAAGAAGATGCACTCTATCTATCCATCTATCTATGGTGCAGGTTCTCACTAGGTAACTCTGCCTGGCCTAGAACTAGCTGTGTAGACTAAGGTAGCCTCAAATTTGAAACAATTTCCCTGCCTCTTGATTCCTAAGCGCTGGAATTACACAAATGAACCAGCACACACAGCACAACAGATGAATCTTAAACATTCTGTGCCATGAAGAGGTATGGACATATCAAAAGTACAGAAGAGCCAGCTTAAAGAGGCCTCGGGCAGTCAATTACAAATATACTGAGAATCAAAACAAATGAGAGCTTTAGAAAGGGGCTGGGTAGTTGTCTGGCAAAAAAAAAAAAAAAAAAAAGAAACTTCAGGGGGAGACAAATGGACACAGTGACCAACATGTGGGTTATACCAGAGTGAGAGCCTGTTAAAACTCAGCAAACTCTTCAGACTGACAGTGATGTGCTTCCTGCAAAAAGTATTCCACAATTTAAGATAAAACGCCATATTTAGACTCAAGAGAAATCACAAATCACATTATTAGACACAGAAGCATTACTTGAAAAAAATCAGTATGCACTGATGAAGGGAATTTCCCCCAGCCTGAAAAAAAGACATCTACAAACTGATGGCTCCCACCCTAATCCTGCAGAGAAAGGTCCTAAGAACATTGTCTGGATTTCCACTCCTATAAGATACTATCACACTGAAGTCTTGACCTGTTCAGCATAGCAGAGCAAAGGATAAAGAAAAGGTTAAGACTCCAGGCTAGAGAGATAATGCAGCAGCTAAGAGCACTGACTGCTCTTCTGAAGGACTAGTATTCAATTCCCAGCACCTACATGGTAGCTCATAACCACGTAAACTCCAGTTCCAAGAGATCTGATGCCCTCTTCTGACCTCCCTGAACACTGCTTATGCATGGTACACACACATACATGCAGGTAAAACACATAAGAATAAATCTAAAAAGTAATTAGAAAGACTTACAAATAGTAAGACTTTCTATTTATAGAAATGATTCTCTATGCAGAAAAATCCCATGACATCTATAACAAAACTCCAAAAATGAATTAATGAGTTTAGCAAGGATGCAGAATATAGGTTAAAATAACCAAATGTGCCAGGCGTTGGTGGTTGCATGCCTTTAATTCCAGCACTTGGGAGGCAGAGGCAGGCGGATCTCTGTGAGTTCGAGGCCAGCCTGGTCTACAGAGCGAGTTCCAGGACAACCTCCAAAGCAATACAGAGAAACCCTGTCTCGAGGGGAAAAAAAAGCCAAATGTATTTCTATGTGTTTGCAATCAACATCTAGGAACTGTTTTTAAATATTACTTATAACAAAAAATGATACGCTTAAACATAAATCTAACAAGTTAGAACACATTAGCATGCTGAAAATTACAAAGCACCAATCAAGGAAACCAAAGACCTAATGTATGGAGAAGAGTCATATTCAAGAACTGAAGGACAGACAGTACAGTAGGGCTACCAGTTCTCCCCTGTTTTTAACAGATGGAATGCAATCCCTGTCAAACTCAAGAAAAAATATCAAGTCTATTCTGAAACCTACAGGAAACAGAAATAGAAGGACCAAAACAAAACAACAAAGAAAATAGAACCAAGGTGAGAATGTATGGTACCTGGGCCAGTGAGATGGCTCAGTGGGTAAAGCCTGATAACCAATACTGATCACTTAAACTCAACTTCAAGATTATGGTGGAAGGAAAGAACCCTTGCAAGTAACAAGACATGCACATGCCTGAACAGAAACACACACACACACACACACACACACACACACACACACACACACACACCCCTATACAGAGAAGGGGGAAGGGGGGAAAAGAAGGGGGAGAGACCGCTCTGGCACTAGTACAATCAAACACCCATATATAATAAACTAACACCCACAAACATCTGTCACACCACATAGAACTTCACTGAAATGGATCACAGGCCTAAATGTCAAATTATTGAACTTCCAGGCAGAAACACAGATCTCTGTGACTTGTACAGAATTCTTAGGAATCACATCAGTACATCACTTCTCAGCCTTTGGCTGAGATCAACTACAAGCACAATCCATTAAAAAAAAAGCTATACTTCATCAAAATTTTTAAATACTTGCTCTGTAAATGATAGTCAAGAAGAAAAAAATTGCAACTAGCACAGTACCAAATTGGTGTCGGTATCATGAAAAAAAAGAAAAAAAGAAAAAACCTTCTAAATTCAACAACAAACCAACAACTAAATGAAAAAAATAAATGAGCAAGATCAACACTTCACCAAAAGATCTGCCAACAAACACAGAAAAGATACTCAAGATTATCAGGCTGAAAACTGTCTCATACCTATCACTACCTGGAAAAAGGACTATAGCTTAGACTATGATGAAGAGGGGAGTGGGGAACACAAATCTCACATTACTACTGAGAATACAAAACCACACAGAAAAAAAAGTTCATCCTCTTGTATAAAGCTAATAAATGCAGAAGTAATATAGGAAACAGAAACCCCACCTCGAAGCCCAGCAGTGATGGTGCATGCCTTTAATCTCAGCACTCTGGAGGAAGAGGCAGGTAAATCTCTGTGAGTTCAAGGCCAGCCGAGTCTACAGAGCGAATTCCAGGACAGCCAAGCTACACAGAGAAACCCTGCCTCAAAAAACCAATAAAGGAAGGAAGGAAGGAAGGAAGGAAGAAAGGAAGGAAGCAAGCTCCACTTCGGAGCTGTTGTGGGACAAAAAGGGAGGACCAGAGAGTTCAAGGTCTTCTTAGGCTATATAATGAGTCTGAGACCAGCCTAGGTTACTTAAGATCCTGTCTTTATGATCAAAAAAAAAAAAAAAAAAGAAGAAGAAGAAGAAGCAAGTCTTACTGATTCATAACTATAATCCTATCAGCACTTGGGAGAAAGGTAGAACTGCTGTAAGTTTGAGGTTGGCCTGAGCTACAGAACAAATTCCAAGTTAGTCTGGGGTAGAGTAAAACTCCGCCTCAAAAAGAAAGATAAGAAGAGAAAGGCATAAACAAACAAATAAATAATAAATCGAGAGGATTAAGGTCAGACATGGTGGTGCATGCTTTTAATTCCAGCACTCAGGAGGCAGAGGCAGAAAGACCTCTGAGTCTGAGGTCTACAGAGTGAGTTCCCAGACAGTCAGGGCTGTCACACAAAGAAACCCTGTCTCGAAAAACCAAAAAAAAAAAAAAAAAGATTAAAAATAAATAAAAATAAGGGAAAGGAAGAAATGGGAGAGACAGGGAGGGAATCCACTGTGAATCTTTATAATAGTAACCGATTTAGAGTGATTCATCAATAGATTTTTGAAATAGAGAGTTTGAGGACTTTTATAAAACTTATATCCTTATTTACAGAAGGAAAATTAATGTCCACTGAACAGGCCTGGTGGACACCACCTCAGATACTTCAACTTAACATCACCAGTTGGGACTAGGCAACACCGTGGCCTGGTGACACAAGACACTTGAGATGGACACACTTGTCATTTCTGTGACATTCCTCTAAAATCTATATGACTTGAATATGATCCTAGCGTATGTTACACCAACCCATACACCAGAACACTCTACAAAATAACTGGTCTGTATGCTTCAGAAACATCACAAAAGACCAACAAACCAGCCTAGATTAAAGAAAGCCAGAGAGGCATTACAAGTAAGGAATATGGATATCCTGGATGAAGCCCAGGGCTAGGGGAAACAAACTGCAAGGGGCCTCTGTAAGACCAGAGATGGAATCTGAATCTCAATTGCCACTCATAAAGCAGCACCAGGTTATTCTGGCATTTCCTGACTTGGAGGGCCTGCCCTTTTCTACTAGTTGTAGCTTTTAGGGATAAGGGTCATGATACAATATGGTACTGTATAATCATAGAATGAAATGCAAATGAGCAAACAGAAGTGGATCAGAAAAGGCACAGGGGCTTCCTGTATGACTATAGCAACTTTCATGTTTGAAATTATATTAAAATTAAAAACAAAAATATCACCAAGGACAAAACTGCTTTCAAAAACCAGCACACTCTCTCCAAAGCTCCTTGAATTTAGCATGTGTATGAATCTCAGGGTCTCAAATGCATTCTGCTCTCCTCTACTAAGAAATCTTAGTCCTAATGACCTACCTATAGGTGATTCACACCAACATTTCTTCCAGCTAAGGAAAATACCTACTATGTCTTTCCACTTGTTCTGTTTTGCACTGTTTTCAAAATACAGATAAAAGACACAAGAAAGAACAAACATTAAACACAGCACACAAGGAACCCTAAGCATACAATAACAGGACTTTGAATATTAGAGGACATGCACACTACAAGCTACCACCACATTGCAAGTCACAGAAAACAATGCAGTAAGGTCCGTGTTGTCATTCATTCATGCAACTGAATTTCAGAACTGTGTATGCAGAAAGGCTTTTACTGTTCAAAATAAGAAATGGGCTCTGGAAAAAAAAATGCCGAAGAGCAAATAGTAAATTGAAGGTTAAAATATCTGGATGAAAGAAACGTTTGGGATGAGACTACAATTTAGAACCATCAAAAAGTACCTGAAACAGTTGCTGCTGGGATGAAAAAGCAGCAGAAACATTTGGCGGAAGCTGGGTTGCTATAGCAACGGGAGTCCCAGTCTGCCCATCCTTGCCTGTCACAACCTTTACCTGAGAGAAATATTTTGAGAAAAAAAGGTAACATAATTTTTAAGACTGCTCAAAATTATTAGAATTTCATTGCTGACAGCTCACTAATTTAGGTGCTTAAAAACAGAATGATTTTTGCATCGAAACCTATAAAGGGACACTGAACTGACAGGTTCATAGCATAACAATCTAATGATGCCAATCTTCAGAACTCCAGACTAGATCACAGGCAACATTTTAGATTCTGCAATGTCCAACTGTAAAATGAGAGTGGCAGACACTCAGGAATCAGCGTCCCACAGCTGGTTTCTTGAAAGATCTGCACAGCTATAATGTTCTGTTGCCTGCCACACGGTTCACACAGCAAAACTGTTTTTAGTAGAAGCTGTGAGAGGATGTATGTTTCTTTAAAAGTACAGATAAGGAGGCTCAGCTTACAGACAACATTGGTTACAGACACAAAGAGAACTCAGGGCACTAGTGGTAGTCCTCAAAGTCATTGAGACCTTTCTGAATAACAAAGATGGTCCAGCCTAGCTAGGTCCAGTGTTGAAGAAGACACAGATGGCCAAGCCACACAGATACATCCACAGATGCTAGTGGGGACTCTGGAGCAAAGGCAAACTTTTGCTCACCAAAAGCAGGTTTCATTGCCAAAGGGCTAACAGCAGTTTAAATTATTTTAGCTCTATCATAGAACAAAATAAGCTCCACCAACATAATAAACACTACACAAGACAAAGGCACAAAAGACAGTGCATCACAGTACAGGCCACTAAGAACCCAGTATACCTCAGAGAACTGCAGAACTGCTATGCTGTTAGGGGTACTTACTGTGCAGCATTCTAGAATCCCCCCCCAAAAAAAAGAAGTCTACAAAAGCTTCTGTCTCAAGTGTCACCCCATAGGTATTTGCAAAGTGTGAGCTTAAAATATGATCTCACATCTAACACTACATCTAAAACCTTAAAAAGTTAGAGATTTCTTATAGTTGTTTGACACTATACTTTAATTGTGAACATCCCACGTAAAAATACACCAAGTGACTTGAATTCCTTGTTTAAAAACTTTGTTTTATGGATAGACCTACACAAACATATAGTGAAATCAGGAAGCCAGGGGGAAAGAGCTAAGCTTCACTGTATTGGGAGAACTTTTCCTGGGGGTTGCCAAAGAACAGGCAACAATGTCATGTTGGCCAAAGACCACATACACAGAAGTGAGAAACCTACACAGCATTAGCTGAGCCCTCTGCCCAGGATGGGTTCTGGTTCTCAGTGACAACACCTAGCTCTGAGAAGGCATCAGTCACAAACAGTCCTTCATCTTTCTCCCCAGACAGCTACACTGAACAGCTCTTCCTCTACATGAAGGAAGAAGGAAATTACACACTCTATTCCTATTTTGATCCTATGACATTCAAACCCTAAAATACCCCGAGCTCACACATTTTCAGTCTACTGTTGCACACCATCTATTTTGCTTTATATAGCCTTTCTAGAGTACTGAACTGCTGTTTCTTACCTCATCGTTGATAACTTCAGATTTCTCTTCCTCCTCCTCTTCCTCCTCCTCCTCCTCTTCAATATCCAAATCATTCTGCCTAAGATATGCTTGTAAAGGGGCATAGTGCTTCTTTTTAAAAGCCAAGAAATCCATCATGTTCCCCTGAAGATGTTGCAAGAAGAACAGTTCAATCAGGTACTCCTTGAAGACTTCCTTAAGTGCCTCCATCTCCTTGTAGTGGTAGTCCAGGCACTGCTTCCTCATCTGTGCCATCTCCTGGGAGGCTGGAGGGATCTCCTCTAATTTCTTGGGAGCCTTCTTCATTCCTGAGCTTCCCATAGATGTGAGAGGCACACTGGAAAGGCCTGGAGGCATGGTGGTTCTGGACGGGCTGGTGGGTGGTGGTGGGGATGTCATCCCAAATGCTGAAGGCCCCCCAACACCAGGGAGCAGCACACCTGGTGTCCTCTCAAACCCCAGAGATCTGTTCAGTGGCTGTCCCTGAAGCACCTGCTGCTGTTGCTGTATCAACTGGCCCTGAATAATGCTGCTGATCTGGGGTGGCAGGCTGGCTGTGGTGATGTGGTTTGGGCTGGCCAGAGGTTGCAATCCGGTGCCTCCTGCAGCTGCAGGACTCTGAGGCCCTAGATGATGGATGGTGCCTCCCGACTGTGCATGAGGTTGGGAGAGTCTCCGTTCTCGGACAGTGATGGGAGCTCCTGAATGCTGGAGTTGAACCTGAGCTCCCTGGGCCATCTGGGTCAGGCCTGGTGCCTCCTGAAATACAAAGTGACCACCACTTGAGGGGCTCAAGCTGATCTGCCTCACAAGCACACTGGCATCCACAAAGCCTCCAGTGGGGCTGCTGCTGCAGATGCCCAGCCCAGGACCTGGGGCACCTGCACGAACATTCTGCAGGGCCTGCCCTGGCCCAGGACTAGGCTGTGTAGGGCTTTGAGTCTGGACCTGCTGCGACAGAGGAGAAGTAACTTGAATATACGATGGAGAGCCATGCTCAAAGCGCCTCTGCTGTGCACCAAACTGAAAACCTGGAGAGGTGGGGTTGGGCAGTGGCAGAGGGGCCAGTGTGATCTGCTGGTTTCCTCCTACAACAGGGCCAACATTCTGTAGTGTGATGTTCACATTTTGTCCAGCCACAGGACTTCTGCTCATTAGCTGCTGAATCTGGTACCCAGGGGACTGGGGTGCAGATGGGCTGGCTGATGGAGCAAAAGGCGCTGCAGGTGATGGGGGTAAGTTGGGATGAGCTGGCTGCTCCTCTTCACTCCCAGTGAAGGACCTAGACCTCTGCAGCTGATGCTGGACATTCTGAGGACCACTGCCATGGTGCATTATCACCTCCCTTTTCTATCCAATGTAATATTCCCCTAGAAAATCAAAATTAAAATCAAGACATTGGAAGGCAAATACAATCATTGGATTACCACGTAATATAATTACCACTTAGTAGCACTGAAATGATACTTGATAGGTTCCCACTGGTCTGTTTCAAACAAGAGCTCTTATTACTTTTTATAAAAGAACAGATGACCACTTACATAACTCCCTTCCCCATCTCTTTTCCTCCACCCAAGATTCTAAAGGAAAGAAGACCAAGGGAAGAAGGGTCCCCCAAGCCCTGCCATCATATAAAAGTAAAACTAAGGCAGAACTTAAGTAGAACATTAAGGAAGAACTAAGAACTATGGCACTACACAGCAGATTTAGCCCAAAGGGACAGTGACTACTTTGTAAATGATCCTGTGATATCTGCCACCGTGCCAAAACCCTCCTCTACAAGTGGCTCAAAGTGGCTCTTGGGATTCACTAGTTTAGCCAGGCCTTATATGCCAAACAGCTACATCTGCCTCCCAAGAACAGCCCAGAGTAGTTACACTACTGACCCAAAGAAGCAAGCTGGGGGCAGAGTATGTTCCCATTAAGAGACCACCAGTCCCTCCAAGCACAAGTCAACAGTGTCATCACCTTAGTGAGGAGAGCTCAACTGGTGATGATTATACTTGGATCCCAATGTGTGACATCTTCCTGTCAACCATGTAAGGCAACAAAAGGGTCCCCTATGAGCTGAGCTGGCTACAGACAGTGATGAAAGAGCAGGAGAGACTTGGGGAGGAATGCAGGCTTTAGAAGGAAAGAGAAGACAAAACAGGGAAGCACAATTCAGGTGTCAGATCATCAGTTCAACACCTCGGTCTGCCTATTTTCTACCATGGTGGACCGCAAACACAGAATATCTTCTTACTCAGAAAAAACAAAGGTGCAAATCCATAGCACCTGACATTCAGCTCAAGATAGGTTACAAGAGGAAGCACAGGACAGTGCCCAAGTCATGGCACTGAGGATAAAGGCACACCTGCTACCAAACCTCAGGATCTGAGTTCAATCCTCAGGTCACATGTGGTAGAAGGAGAGAGCCAAGTTGTCCTCTGACCATCTATATACACACAGCACAGCACATGCATGTATACACAACCAAGTACTCAATTAATTTAAGGGCATATTTTTGCTACCAAGATAAGCAACAGCCTCATCTCAAAGCTATCACTGCTTATTCTATCAGAAAATGAAAAATAAAGAAGCCATGAACCTGAAAAACTTACAAAATTTACACAACTTTCAAATCAAAACTGTATCATCAAGCTGGAATAGTGGCACACACTAGCAAGCCCAGCCTACCAGAGGCTCAATCAGGAGTGTTGCTGCAAGTTCAAGGCTATACAGTAACTACATAGTAAGACCCTATTTCAAAAAAGAGATGGGAACAGAAAAAGTAGTAGCACATGCCTTTAAATCCCAGCACCTGGGAGGCAGAGGCAGGAGAATCTCTAAATTCAGACCAGTCTGGTCTATAAAGTGAGTTCCAGGACAGCCAGGGCTACACAGAGAACCCCTGTATTGTGAGACATTTTTGTATACTATGTGAAGGTGTATTGCTGTGATTGGTACAATAAAAAGCTCAACGACCAACAGCCAGGCAGGCAACATAGGCAGGCTCTCCAGGGAGAGAAAGAGGAGGAGAAATCTAGGCACCCAGGAGTCACCAGCCAGACATGGAAAGGAGACAGGAGGTGCTAGATGGAAGAGAGGTAATGCCATGTGGCAAAACATTGATTAAAAACATGAGTTAAGGCCTGGCATTGGTGGCACACGCCTTTAATCACAGCACTAGGGAGGCAGAGGCAGGCGGATCTCTGTGAGTTCGAGGCCAGTCTGGTCTCCAGAGCGAGTGCCAGGATAGGCTCCAAAACTACACAGAGAAACCCTGTCTCGAAAGACCAAAAACAAAAAAAAACAAAAACAAAAGTTAATTTAAGTTATAAGAGGTAGTTGGAAAAGGTAAAACCAAAAATGGCCATAGATTAGGTCAGAACTTGAAGTGGGGAAGGCATAACCAAAGAGGCCTGAGGAAGCCTGAGAAAACTGAGCTATTTGTAAAACTTGATGTGTAGCACACATTAACACAGAACAGATTCACCTAAAAATTAGCACTATAAACTTTATTAGAATTAAATTACTATGCTTTTGTAAATGAGTCTGACCTCAGTAAGCTTATTTATATTCAAGTTATAGAAATAAATACTACGAACTATAAGGTAAAGAAGCCACTCATGCAAAAGTGCTTCCCAAGGGGTTGGAGAGTTGGCTCCCTGGTTAAGAACACCAGTTGCTCTTTCAGAGCACATGGCACCTACATGGCACAATTGTCTCTCACTCCAGTCCAAAAACATCGACGCCCTCTTCTGGCCTCCTCAGGTACTACATATACGTGGTGCAAAGGCATAATACATGCAGGCAAAACACCCATACACACAAAGTATTTTTAAATGAAAAATAAAGTGCCTCCCAAAATGAAGTACAGATACCCCAACAGGCAGCAGGGGACCACCAACAGCAAAACTGCCTGTGTTTCTTTTTTCTTTTCTTTTTTGTTGTCGTTGTTTTGCCTTGTCTTGTTTTTGGAGATAAAGTTTCTCTGTCCTGGCTGTTCTGTAGACCAGGCTGGCCATGAACCTAGAGATCCGCCTGCCTCTGCCTCCCTAGCACTGGAATTAAAGGAGTAAGCCACTATCACCCAACTATGTATTTCTAATTTTGACTCAGCTTTTTGTTGCTTTTATGAGACAGTCTAACCATGTAGCCCAGGCTGACCTGCTGGTTTTGTGAAGGGCACATGAGCCAGTTAAAGATGGCACTGAGGGGAAGTCAGAAGGATGAGTCCTGAGATGTTTATAAAAAAGGGTGATTGGGGAAAAAAAAAAAAAAAAGAGTGATTGGGCCAGGAGTTGGTGGCACACGCCTTTAATCACAGCACTCGGGAGGCAGAGACAGGCTGATCTCCAGAGCGAGTGCCAGGATAGGCTCCAAAGCTATACAGAGAGACCGGGGGGGGGGGGGGGATGGGTGATTGGTCACCAAGATTGAACCAGATGAGGTCACTGTATGAATGGCTGTGTTCACTAGGTAAAGCACAGGGTGACCAGGCACCTTTAAAAACATTGGCTGGCTGTTTTCCCGCTCTGCGGTTTATTGCTTTAAAAGATGCTTGTTGTGGGACAATAAATGAGTTCCTGCTTGACTAGATTCTCTGCTGCATCTGATTGACTCCGGAATCCTGGGAGGCTGGGGAACGGGTGAGCAGCACACTTATCCTTCCTCAGACCCAGCTCAGCCTTCCCTGGTTGGGCTAAGACCCTGCAGTTTCGTAGGCATGCAGAAGTAAGGTAAAAGAGTTGCAGTGGTGACACATGCCTTTAATCCAAGCACTTGGAAGGCAGAAGCAGGTGGATCTCTGGGTTCCAGGCCAGCCTGGTCTACAAAATGAGTTCTGGGATGGCCAAGGCTACCCAGAGAAACCCTGTTTTGAAAAACCAGAGGGGGGAAAAACAGTTAAGGGTCACAGAGGTTTAATACAAGGTTCCAGGGGGAAAAAGCAGAGAAGAAAAAGCAATGTGTATAACCCATAGGGTAAGTTTGGGGTTAAGAACCTATGATTGGGTCATGAAGCTGTGAAGGTGAAGCCTAAGCTGAAAAAGCAATTCCAAAATGTTGGAGATGCCTAGAATGTGAAACATCTTCCAAGGAAAATCACAAGCACCAAATGGAGCTGCTCAAGAAAAGAATCCATACAACACATAAGGCTGACCAAGGCTGTTGAATCACATGATACCATGAGCCCCAGATGCTGGATATGAAGCTACAGGTTTGGTATTTGCTCTGCTGGGTTTCAGCCTTGCTTTAGTCTGGTCTTTCTTTGCTATCTCTCATTCCTCCATTTTGGAATAGCAATGTTTACTCAGTGTATATTGGGAAAGCACTTAACCATTTTTTGTTTTGTTTTTAACAAGGGTTCACAGCTATGAGTTTGCCTTAAGTCTCAAAATACTCTTTGAACTTTGAACAATACTGGGATGGTTAAGACCATGGGGCTTGTACAGTCAGAGTGAATACATCCTGCACTATGAAATGTCCTAAATCTTGGGGAACAATGGCAGAATGTTAGTTTGATTATTAAAATATCCTCTACACTCATGTTTGATGAACATTTCATCTCCAACTGGTGGCACTGTTATAGAATCTTCAGGAAGTATGATTTAGCTAGCAGTAGATTGCTGGAGTGGGCCTTGAAGGTGGTATCTCTACTTCTAACTACAGCCCAAGCTTTCTGCTACCCAATACACTGAGATGTGAACAATGTGCTCCAACCACCAGAGAACAAACCCTCAGTCACCATAACTATAGCTTCTAAACTGTGAACCAAGACAAAATTCTCTTCTCAAGTTACTTCTGTCTCATATTTTCTCACAGCAACCACAAAAGTAATTAGTGTACTGTATGTTGGCTTATATCGATTTACATAATGTCTCTAATTCCATGACATCTGTGGAATGACCTGACTTCATTCTCTTTAGAACTGAGTCCTCCATTGTACACACAATGTGTACAATGTGTATATACAATCTTTCCCACTCATTCTCAGAATCCTCCGTTGTGTGTGTATATACATATTTTTTTTAATTTATTTATTATATATACAGTGTTCTGTCTGCATGTATCCCCAAAGGCCAGAAGAGGGCACCAGATCTCATTACAGATGGTTGTAAGCTATCATGTGGTTGCTGGGAACTGAACTTGGGACCTCTGGAAGACCAGCTAATGTTCTTAACCACTGAGTCATTATCTCCAGCCCACATATCACATTCTTGATGTGGGATGTTCTTATGAATTCTGTGAATATGTGATGCTTTTATTGGTTAATAAATAAGGCTGGTTTGACCAATGGCCAGGCAGAATATAGCTTCCAAGAGGGAACTCCAAACAGAGAAAAAAAAAGGCAGAAAGACGCCATGTAGCCACTGGGGAAGCAAGATATGAGGTAACAAGCCACAAGCTTGCTGGTAAAATACAGAGTATTAGAAATGGGTTTATTTGCCAGGCAGTGGTAGCACATGCCTTTAATCCCAACACTCAGGAAGCAGAGACAAGCAGATCTTTGTGAGTTCGAGGTCAGCCTGGTCTACAGAGAGAGTTCCAGGACAGGCTCCAAAGTTACAGAGAAACCCTGTCTCAAACCCACCTCCCCCCCCCAAAAAAAAAAATAGAAGAAAAAAGAAATGGGTTAATTTGGGCAGGAAAGATGGCTCAGTGGTTAAGAGTTCAATTCCCAGCACCTACATCACAACTGTCCAGTTCCACGGTATCTGACATTCTCACACCAATGCACATAAAATAAAGGTAAATAAATTATTTAAAAAAAATAAATTTAAGTGTAAGAGCTGGTCCGTGATATGCCTGAGCCATTGACCAAGCAATTACATTTAATATTAGCCTTTGAGTGATTATTTAATAAGTGTCTATGGGAACTGATACACAGGACAGAAAATATCTAACTACACTTTCTTTCCTACTCATTCCAAGAACCCAACCCTCCCCTCCCTCTGTGTGTGTGTGTGTGTGTGTGTGTGTGTGTGTGTGTGTACACATCACATTCTTTCCAATCCTTCCAACTCATTCCCAGACAGGCAACAGAGCTGACTCTCTATCTTAGTTATTATGAACAGTACTATTAGAAACATGGCTGTGCAGGTGTCTCTTCTGTATGCTGACTGCAAATTCCTTTAGATACATACTTGGCTTGGGACTACTGGGTCATAAGTAGTCCCATTTTTTAGTTTTTCAGGTTCTCCCATTCTGGGTCCATTTTGGCAGTATTAATTTACATTCCCCTCAACTACATACCACAGTTCCCTTTTCCATAACCTCACCAACATGTTATGTGTTTTTGTTAACTAACTGGGATGAGACCACATCTAAACATGATTTAAATTCACAGTGTCCTCAGTGAGACATTTTAACTCAGTTTAAACTCTAACTTCACTTTATTTTCTCTGAGACATGGTCTCACTATGTAGCCATTGGCCCATACAGAGTAGGTTTTGGGGGTTAGCAGTTGGTATGACCAGTATTGGTTAACTGGTCTCTGTCTCTTTTTTTACTTTTTTAACACAACAGTCTCAGGATTGGTGCACTTCCAGGCTTTGGAGACCTGTCCTGTGTTGATTGGTCAACTGACTGCTATGGCCTATAGGCCCTCCCAGGGTGGTTGCTATGCTCTGCATGTCACTGTTACCACACTGTTACCATAAAGCACTTCCAGAGCCGGCCAGCTAACTTCTTATTGGTTCCTTGCCACATGGAGTGTATCTGACCTACTAGTGACCAAGGCAGGTTCAGCAAGATCAGAAGGTCAGAAACTAAGCAACATGTGTTGAGTCAGAGGCCTACATTTTGTTGGGTCTTTTCTGCAGCTTATCATGGCTGCTAAAGCAGGGGGCTGGGTGAGGGTCTGCTCCCTTCAGGTGCATGCGTTCATATTCCTGTATGCACAGATATAGCATAAGGACATGAGTTCAATCTCCAGAACCCAGCAAAAGGTGGAAGGAAAGAATTGACTCCGCTGACCTTTTACCGCCACACGCACACTCTGGCTTGCATTTGCCCAACACATCATACAGATACAAAATAAACAAATAAATATGTGTTTAAAAAATGCATATCCTTTCCTGGTCAGGGAAGCACTCTGTTGCCGGGCGGTGGTGCCGCACTCCTTTAGTTCCAGCACTCGGGAGGCAGAGGCAGGAGGATCTCTGTGAGACCAGCCTGGTCTACAAGAGCTAGTTCCAGGACACCTCCAAAACCACAGAGAAACCGTCTCAAAAAAACCAAAATAAAAAAAAAAAATTATGGACAACCAGAACAAAGACTTCAGAAACAGTGGAGGCTAATCAGATGAGAGGGGAGATGACAAAAAGCCCAAGAAAAATTGCTACAGAGAAAAATAAGGAAATGGTGACTGGAAGTACACAAAATTTCTCTCCCACCTCGGTATACAAGGTAGCTGAGAAGTGACAGGGTCAACTGGAGGGGAGCACTAGCCAAGAAAAGGTTACTATTGTAGGTGTAGATAAGGTGGCCAGAAAACAACTGGAGGGAGAGGGAGAGGGGGAGGGGGAGGGGGAGGAAGAGAGGGAGAGAGGGGGAGAGGGGGAGAGGGAAAGGGAGAGAGGGAGGGAGAGGGGGGAGGGGGGAGAAAGAGAGACAGGGGGAGGGAAGGAGGAAGGGAGATTGAAGTATGAAGATAACCTGAGCCCAGGCCAGAGCCTAGGACACAAAGTAAGGTTCGCCTGAAAAACAAGTAAATGAAACACCCAGGTATAACGACTCACACCTAACCCCAGTATTGTGGCTGAGGCGACTGTACTACTACTAACAACTACAGGCCAGCTGGGGAATCCTTAATGAGTTCCACACAGACTGACTCCAACTTCATGAGACTTTGCCTCAGGAAAAAAAAAAAAAAAAACTAAGTAAGTGAACAGAAATTTTAAAGTAGTTTGCCTTTCCTGACCATTCATAGTATACAGATGTCACACACACCAAAAAAAAAAAAAAAAAAAAAAAAAAAAAAAAAAACAAAAAAAAAAAAAAAAAAAAAAAAAAGTACAAGAACCACAGATCTTTGTGAGTTCAAGGCCAGCGTGGTCTAAACAGCAAATTAAAAGGCCAGCAAGGGCTACGGGACGATATCCTGTCTTTAAAAACAAAACAAGAACCGTTTTTGTCACACGTAAAAATCCCAGAACACACAGAACGCAAACACCCTGCCAGGGATGAGCGCAACCCCCAATTCAAAGTCGCGGGGCTCCCAGATGCCAGACCTGGGGACAGACCTGCAGAGACAGCGGCTCGGAAGCTGACGGTGCAC